TATACATATACATACATACATACAGGCACCTTAATGTGACCTTAATGATATAAATAATTGTGAGCAACAAATTCCATTTCAAAGAAGAAACTGTATCTTCAATTTTGTATTTGGAGGAAGACCCCAAAAAAACTTTTGCAATTTTCGAAAATTCAGAGTTGACAGTGATAATCAAGACAATAAATAAAATAGAAACTTCGTATACACGTATACACGAGAAAGTAACTATTGCTGCTACAGAATGACACAGATTTTCACGAATGTTCTCTATTTTCTTTGGTCAGGGCTAGCTATTCGAACTTGCACCATACTCTTGCAAGATGCAAGAGTCGATCCCCAAAATACTTTTTTTAATTTCTCTTTTTCTGTTTTCTAAAAGTTGAACCTAAATCTTTCTTTAAGAATATTAAACTTTCTCTTCAATTGCAATTTTCATTACAAAATTTGGAGCCGTTCTGAAGAAGCTTTACTGTAAATGTGAAATTTAAAGCTCTTTTTCACAATGTTTTTGAGTTTTCGAAAAACTTCATTAGATGTCAATTATAGCACTTTAATTCATAAATGAATAGTGTTTACAAATTGATGGAAATGGGCATGTTAACGGGGTGAGATATATTTAAATAGATACATTTGTGTAATTTTTAAAAAAGTAAAATAATACCGCAAAATTAATTTTGTCTTCTTAAACACTTCAATTAGGACTCTCCGTGCGAAAAATTAAAAAAAATTAGAAGTCCTTTTAGAGAAATTGGTGTCATTTTAAGTACTAATTTTAAAACTCACAAATACAATAGTGTTTACAAATTATTTTTTACAATGTTAATTTTTTTGAAATTTTCTCAATTTTTCGTTGTCTTAACAGTAGAAAGGAAATATTTTTTTAAAGAATATTAAAGAACATTAAAACCATGATCTAAATGGCAATTACCTTTCAAAAATTTGGAGTCATTTATAAGAAAATGGCGATTAAGTGCTTCTGTAAATTGGAAATTTGAAGCTCTTTTTAACAGAAAACTTTTGAGTTTTCAAAGAACTTTATTTAAAGTCGTTTAGCGCCCATTAATAGATCTTCCAAAAATCATTCATAGGTCTTCCAAAAAATTACATTTGTATAATTTTAGAAACACCAAAAAATTCCCAAAATGAACTTTACGTGATATTAAAGAGTGCAATTCACATTATCCCTCTTAAAAATTGAAGACAAAATTTGGACCATTTAGGAGAAAATAGTGTTTGAGCGTTTCTGAAAATGCGAAATTTTTAGTTAATTTTCACAGAAAATGATCGAATTTTTTAGACATTTTCTGTGACATTATTTAAAGCACATGTATTCGTAAGTGTAATAATGTGCAGAAACCGCGGCCTATATAAGTATTAACGAGGCGAGACCCCCCCAAAAATTACATTTTTTGTAATTTTTGAAAAAAACAAAAGAATAGAGGAATATGGCTTTTATGTCATCTTGTAGAGTACATTTAACTATCCCTATGAATAATTTAAAGAAAAAATTGTAGCTTTTTTGGGAAAATATTGTTTTGTAATTTTGTGAAATTGCAAAAAAATTCCATATTGCGTGAAATCAACTAAAAGTTTCAAAAAATGTACATGATTTTAATAAACAAAACTAATTACGGACAACAAATTAAATTTGAAGGAATAACTTGTATCTTCAATTTTGTAGCTGTAGGAAGACTCCGAAAAAAAAAATACAATTTTCTAAGAATCAGAGTTAACCGTAAAAATCGGACCTATGCCATCGTTATAGGTGTATCTTATTAGATTTCTACAAGAAATTTAAAGAAAAGTTTAGGAGTCGTTATTGAGAAAATGTAAATGTTTGGGGTGTCCCCGAATTTGAAAGTTTTTCGAAACAGCCACGCCTCGAGTAGAGCCAAATTGACAGAGGAATATCCATTTGGAAAAATAAGGATAAGGTGCTAGATGTGTTCAGACCGACAGACGGAAGATGGACGGACGTTTTGCCGTCAATTGACTTTTCGCTGTCAAGAACCCACAAAACTCTGCTAGCTACACCTCGCGTTAGAGGATTTATTTTCTTAATTTAGCAACTGTATTTATCCACTTTTTTTTCTTATCAGGGCTCGGCAATGAATTTTTTTCTGCCGAAAATCCGCCATTTTTTCGCGCAGCATTATGTAATTTTCCCTGGACTACGTTTATTTCCTGTAAATACGTGTACGGGAAAGCCAAAAGAATAATTATTGTAATCGTACGCCGGAAAACTGTAAATTATAGTTCTTATTGCCGGGACTTGGTTACTGAAGAGGGGATAAATCTTGTTCCCGCATATACTAAATTACTTCCTCTAACACTTTGTGTAGTGAGAATTTTTGTTTTGTGCGCTTGATTCCGCAAAATTGATTGACGGCAAAATGTCAGTCCGTCCGTGATCAACGCCAGCGCCTAAACCGTTCAACAGGTTTTCTGGAAAATTTAATTTTCCCCATCGATTTGGGTGATGTCGCCGCGCGGTTTAAATCTGAAACCCATATTTTAATTTTGGGGGTTCCTGACATGAAGCTCCTGTGACATTTTCAAAATTAAAAACAAAATTTTCATCGTCCAATTTTCTTTTTATTAAATTTTGTTGCTGGGTAGCGTAAAGGACTCATAAGAGAATGGTAATGTCTAATTTTCATTGAAATAGCTGAATTTTTTGAGTAACATTTTTTGCTTAGAAATATCAAGGGAAAAGGTACATTTTTAGACACATTTCTAGTGTTTTAAAAACGCTGTTAAGCTAATCTAACAGACATCTTAAATTCTGCCTTACTGCCGTCAGGCTGAAATTGTGGCAACCCGCACGACTCTAGTGCAAGTTTGTATGCGGACTTTGCAGGGGACAGAATCGTGTTTTTGACGCAGTCTCATTGTGAAGAAATTCATAGGCTTCGCCTCATAGGCGAAGAAATTAACAAAAAGTGCTTTTTGTGATCCTCCAATGGGAACTAAGGTCGCGGAAAAGATCTACACCTTATTTACACCGTGCATGTACACAGTTCTGTCGCACCAAATTCCTTGTGCGCATGTGCTCGTTGTGATTGCGAAATTGCGCGCGCGGGTGGTGTACGTTCAAATGGTGTAACGGTTAGCGTACCAGACTAATATATCCAAGTTGGCGAGTTCAAACACGATCGTAGCTGTGAG